CATATACATTAAAGTTAGTCAAAGTGAGTCGTACGAACGGGTAATCAGAGTCAGTTTTAGACAGTCCGTTTGTGAGGCAGTCTATCTGCATACAAGACAAGTGGAACCTGCCGCAAAGCACGAAACCCGGAAGCTCGATATAATCATCATGTAAGAATTGTTTTAACTAAATTAAAGATAAAAAATAAATATAATAAGAAATCAAGTAAATGAAGACGCAAGCAAAATTATGCGGGAACGTATATCTAGTGATAGGCAAAAATAAAATAAAGATTACACCTATTCATAATGCTTAGGTTTTAATTAAGTGTTATTGAAAATTATATAACAGCAGAAAAGCAAGCGTAAACGTAAGAATTTAAAAATTGATTAACTAAATCTGGTTTTAAATTTCCAATACTAATGCAAACTTGTTGTCCTCGGAGACTTAGCAAGAGGTTCCATGAACCACACTAGTGCTATTTGCATTCTCAAACTTTCCACAATTGGCATCTGAAATATGAGTTGCTAGTGATGAATTAAATCGTTAAAAAGGAATGTGTCAATTTCATATGGTCGTGTTGCCCCATGGCATCCCTATTTCTTCGGCACCACTATTTGTCACATCTCCGAATCCCAAATATGGCTTAAATTCTTATCACTCTGTATCAGCATTTTACCAATACTCGTTGAGTAAAAAGCATAGGAACATAGTTAATTTGTATATATAAAGAAAATAAGAGTATGGAATAATCTCTAGAGATAAGATTGTTGTGACAATTTTCATTTCGCATGGAAGTATATGATGAAGAGATTCCTAGGCCAATCTCACCAAACGCTGATTAGCGTTCTATTGCAGCCATTTGGCATTAATAAGACGTTCAAGCTGATGCATTCCACAAGACATTCTTTCTCGCTTCAAATGAAAATCGGCTGAGTTTGTATCTATGATATGATGGGTATCACCAGAGCTGGAACTAATTCTTGTAAACGTCTCAAATTAACACTAGGTTAAGAAGACTATTCGGCTTTATGTTATCTCTTACATAGACTCATAACTAAAAAAGAAAATGCACAGACAGATAGATATAGGATGGCATGACTAATTGTCTCTCATACTGCTCCTGTTACTTTTGCTCGAGTGTGTGTGCTAACATCTATACGCAATACCGGTCCTAAATCAGAGTGATCAAAGAAGGTTAATATCAGGCTCTGGTCATGATAACTTAATGACACAAGAAAAAGTCGTGACCGAGTATGTCCGCAAGCAAGCATGGTTAAGATGTAAGCTTGTAAGCTCGTAAGTCAAGTTAAGAAACCACTTGTCCTAACCTCTCAGTCTAGGGCCATTAACGTTTAATCAACCAAGGAATGAAATGACTAGGGCTGCATAACATGGCACGTCTGGTTTGGTTGATGAGCTTAATCTAACATGATGGACGAGTGTGAATAAGGTTAGAACCATCACTGAGCACACAAGTTGAGTCGTCTTCTTTTGGATGGCGGCGTGCTGCAAAAAATCTCACATTTTTTATGCATATAACTACAAATGGTTGCGGATTTTTTTCAGTAAAAATATTTTATGAGTTTTTTTTAATTGATTGGTCAGAATACTTTGAGAGGAGGATAGGCTGGCAAGTTTTGATGTTGTGTATATGTACACAAATATTCCTGTTTAATGAGCCATTCAGGCTCTAGCACAAATTATGGAGGAGCCTTCAGAGATCATAGCAGGAATGAGGTTAAGAATAGCCTCCATTCTTAGAGTTCTGAACTTATTCATGAGTATTAGCTACCTTTGATGACAAGTTTTATTAAAAGACACAAAGACTTACAATAAGATCTTGCTTAGCTCCCATTTAAGAGGACAACTACATGGCCAAAATAGAGGAACACTATTTGGAACAGGCAATGCTAACCCATAAATTGTTGGTATGATACATAGATGACTATTTTATAATCTGGCCTCAAAGTAAGGAAAGTAAGGTCAGAAGTGGCCGAACGCACAGGCCAGAGACTGGACATGAGATAGAATTGTCTAAAATTAGTATGCCTGCCGAGTATGGTACATCTGCTGTTAAAAGGAAGGTGATATACTGGCAGATACGTTGAATATGAGGAACGATAGTAGAAAGCCGAGTAAGAACTACTTATACTTGATTGGTAGATTGAAAAAGAGAGAAGGGGTGGAGCCACCATCCAAAATAAGGCGACTTAACTTGTTTGCGCAGTGATGCTTCTAACTGCATAGGAGTGGTCACGAAGTCGTGCCTGACATCTATTAATCCATGTATACACGAGGAACTGAGTGAAGTTGAACCTCGGGATTAAGTTAGATTGAAATAGTAGAGGGACTGATAGTGCAAAAGCAACGTGAATAGGTAGATTTTCATAAAAGCAACCCAAACCCAGGAAACTAAAGGAACATGAGAGGCAAGGTCGGGGTGATAAATGCGAAAACTGGACGATAGGAGTTTAAAAACCAATGCCACTAAAGAGAACCCTCATTATTCAGGCTAGCGTACAGGCAAAATCATACTTGAGATGCCAGTTATAGAAATATATCTTTAAGCAAGTCTAATGCAGGCGCTAGCAAATTAGATAGGAAAAGATTTTCTAAGTAAAGAACAGATTATAATCAGGGAGCCCTGTAGACGGGAGGATAAATTAGTGGAAGGTGATTCTTCTTTAGTCAACCTAAGTTAAGTCTAACAAATAAAGCCACAGCGAGGGATAGAAAATAAAATTGGTCTTAATAAGTGAGATAGAAGGTCGAGAATGCAAGGCTTAGAGCCTAGGACAGAAGTGGAAAGGAGAGATTCCATGATCCTTTAACAGAAAATTAGTCAAGAGCGTTGCCTTTATTTGACAATGATCAATTATAACTTGGTGCTAAGAGTGGAAGCTGTCATTGAGACTGCCGGTGAAACATCAAAAAATATATTAAGCTAACGGTCAGATGCTGGAAATTATTAAGTTGCGAAAAGGAGATCATACCAATCCAATACAAAAAAGGTAGTGAACAAAACCCAAAATCACAACGGCAGTATCATCGTATTTACAATCTAATCATTCATTTAATTTGAGCCCAATTTGAAAGCCTACCTTCTCTCAAATATTATGCACGCTTACTTACTTCCATCTCAAAGTAAACAATCCAACTACCGGGTCGAACACCACCAAGGAGACTGCTTATATACGAAAAATACAGTGTCATCTTTTTCAAATACAATCTTTGACAAAATCGCATAAAGGCTTTCTGCAGCCTTTGACACTAAGAGCATCGAGAGATTGCATAGTAAATGTCTTAGCAACTATAAACGGAGTCCTGCCTTGAATATAGACAAGAAAAGTATTTTTCTCCAACATACCCAAAGGCTAGGCATTCGTAACATCAATAAATTTGAAGCATAAAGTATAGATATGCTTAGTCGTAAGATCGCTAATAATTATTAGTTAAGGATAGGAACGGCTTACTAAAGACTCAGATGCCGAATTGGGTTCAGATTTAATTGACTGAACATCATATATATCGTCAACATCGTTATCTCCTCCATCTTCTTCGTCATCTTCAGTCGCCTCGTTAATTTCGTTTGCCATGCTCAAAGTTTCGAGTTGATCAAGAAAAGCAAGTTCAGCTTCTGCCCATGGAGCATCAGGATAGTCTGGATAGGAATGACAAAGATTATCCTCTGCATCAAAAAATGAAGCATCCATGGAGTCTGGACAAAAGTTGTTAGGGGTGAAAGCAGGGAGTAGTTAATAAAATGATCCCCTAAGTAGTTAACAGATCAGACTAAGACACAGATTCCATAAAAAATGATATCTAATACCAAAGTTATTGGTTCATACACAAGTTCATGAATTATTTAAAGATCCTATGAAACATAACAGAAAAGTCCCAATTTAGACTAAGGTTAAAAGCAAATTA